CTGTCGGGCGGCAGCGCGTCGCTCCTCGCTCGTCGCTCGTCGCAGACGCCGCGGTTTTTGTCGTCGTCGCTGTCGCTGTCTTTGGTCGTCCTTCTCCCGATCGTCTCCGTCGTCACCGTCGCATCGTCGCCCCTGTCGCAGAAACGCCGTCATTCTCAACGTCCTCGTCGTCGTCGACCCCCCCATCTCGCTCCCCCACCTCCGCCTCCTGCCCCCTCCCCCCCCTCCTCCTCCGCCTGTCGCCTCGTCCTCCTCACTCCTCCTCCTCCTCCTCCTCCTCCTCCTCCTCCTCCTCCTCCTCCTTTTTCGTATTAGTCTTCTTATGGTTTCTTAATATAATTACTTTTATGTTTATTAAGATCGGTGTGATATGTGCCCTTCTAAAATAAATATTAGTGTTGGCCGTCTTCGTCTTAGTCTTCACAGTATTGTTTATTATTGCTTTTGTTGTTACTACTACTACTACTACTACGACTACTAGTACTACTACTACTACTACTACTACTACTACTACTACTACTACTACTACTACTACTACTACTACTACTACTACTACTACTACTACTACTACTGCGACTACTACTACTACTACTACTACTACTACTACTACTACTACTACTACTACTATTACTACTACTCTCAATATTATTACGGCTATTATGCTGATTAGCATTCCTCGTTTTCTTCTTCTTCCTCCTCCTCCTCTTCCTCTTCCTCCTCCTCCTCTTCCGCCTCCTCCTCCTCCTCCTCCTCTTGTCCTGTCCTTATGAGAGACTGTTGCCTGTCGCACTCCCGAAAGGGCGGGCTGGGCGTTTCGTCTCAGACTTCCTCACCATTTTTGGCCTTAAGATGGTTAACCATTTCGCGGATGGAGAGAGGGTCGTTTTGAAATTGTAGCGCTCGACGTAGCGCCGCGCACATCTGCCTTGAACATTAGCAAGATACTCATGGATGGAAGGCGGGTCGTTTTCAAAGTGTGGCTCTCGCCTCAGCGCCTCGCACATCGCAGATGTAGGCGTGTCGTGCATATGTAGGGCGGATGCAGGGCGGATGTAGGGCGGGTGTAGGGCGGGTCGCTTTCAAAATGTGGCTCTCGCCATAGCGGCACGCACATTCGTTTCAAAAGTTGCAAGAATTTTGCGGATGGAGGGCGGGTCGTTTTCACAATGTGGCTCTCGCCTTATCGCCGCGCCAGTTCGTCTCAAACCTTTGCAAGAGTTTCACGAATGTAGGGCGCTTCCTTTTCAAAATGTGGCTCTCGCCCCAGCGCCGCGCACATCCGTTTCAAGAGTTGACAACAGTTTAACAGGTCAACGTCCCAGCAATTGTGTTTTGGCATGATATCAGACTGTCTGGGTGCAACGGTTACGTTGGATCATGGTGTTGATGTCCCAAGGAAAAGTGTTCTGGCAAAACTCAGGATCGTCAAGAAGCAACAGTAACGGAAATTCGCGGCGTTGAAGTCCCAAGAATGGTGTTCTGGCACAGTTCAGGATTTCCAAACAATTCGGGAGGATGCCTATGGAGAGGGAACTTGGAGGACGAGTTCATCGCAATATCGTTGATGAGTCCTGGGTTCACACTAGCCCTGGTCCTCCTCCTCCTCTTCCTCCTCCTCCTCCTCCCGACTGGCCCCTCCTCCGCTGCCTCCTCCTCCGCGTGCGCAGGGCGGCGCGCCGCCCGCCTGCCAGTGCCTCAGCGGGGCGGCGGTCGCATACGCCACGGGCGCGCCCATCGCGAGCACCGTGGACATCGGCGCTAGGGGCGGGGCGCGCGCCGCGCCGGCGCGGCGCGCGCCCGCGGGCCGCTGCGCGCCGCGGGGGGCCGCGGGCGTCAGCCGGCCACCTCGCCGAGGCAGTGGCCGCGCCGAGGCAATAGGCCCGGGCCCCCGCGGCGCCTCCGGAGCGCCTCCGCGGCCGAGGCCAAGCCCGGGCCCTGCGCGTCGGGGCCCAGGCCGCCGGCGTCGCGAGACTTCTGCCACGGCGTCGACCCCCAGCAGTCCCTGACCTTCCAGGAAGGTTAAAAAATAGCACCAGGACGTCCACGTTCCAATTCCTGTCGACGTTTGAGGCAGTCCAGATAGGTTTATAGGTCTGGTGTGCTATTTTCTGGCACTCTGGAAGGTCAGGGGTCTGGACCCCATCCCTGGGACCGGCTCCTCATCCCGAGTCGTTTCGTGGACGTCCCCGAGGGCCCGGCGAGGGCCCCCGGAGGCCGAACGCAGCGAGAAACCTCCCGTTGTGATTCGAACAACGTTTCCCCGATCCCCATCCCCAGCGGCGTGGCCTGGGCCCCACTGGCCGATTTGCCCCCCTGGATGGGGTGACAGGCCGTTCCCCTCGGGTTTCGAAGCGTATACCCCCAACTAGGGGGGAAATTTGGTGGGGGCCTCGAAGGAGACGATTAAACGATACTGCCGATCTCTTGACGACGCGAGGAGGTCTGGGCGCCGGGCCCTCGAGGCCAGGGTCGGTGCCCGCGTGCGCCTCCGCGGCCCGAGGCCCGCGAGGGCCCGCACGCCGGCCTCTTGGGCCCCTGGGCGGGGCCCCTGGGCGGGGCCCCTGGGCGGGGCCCCTGGGCGGGGCCCCTGGGCGGGGCTCGGCGAGGTGGTCCGCTGGCGGCGCCCGAGGGGGGGGGGGCGGGCGGGCGGGGCGCGGCGCGGGGGGGGGGACTGGCGCGGCGCCGCGGCGGCGGGGAGGGGCAGGGACGCCGACCCCCGCGGGCCATGAAAGGATCGCGACGGGAGGTTCTCCTGAATTTTCAGCCCCTGGGGGCCCCGACCGGCCCTCGGGGGCGTCCAGAAACGACTCGGGACGAAAGACAAGTCCCAGGGAGAGGGTCGAGACATCTGGGGGGCGACGTTATGAAAAAATATGACGTGGGGGGTCTGGGGAGGGGGGTCACGGTCGCCTCGCGGGCCGTGTGAGTAACGTCGCGTCATCGCTTCGGAGGTCTGATTTGGCCACGGCTGGGCGCAGCTCGCAAAGCTGTCCAGGATGGACCCCAAAGAGGTTTCGACGAACCGATTCTGAGCAAATTTGGGAGGACTCTCATGAAGAAATGTTAGCCCGCATTGCAATATTTGCAGAGCCGTCTAGGTGGCGAGATCAGTGTGGCATGTGGCGCAAGCTGTGTGGTGCAATACATGTGGTGCATGTGGTGCAAAGCACTGCAAAGCAGCGCGACACGATGCAAAGCAATGCAAAGCAATACAAAGCACTGCAATGCAATGCAAATCAATGTGAATCAACACATTACAATGTAAAGCAATGCAGAACAATGCAAAGCAATGCAGGGCAATGCAAAGCACAGCAAAGCAATGCGATGCAAAGCAATGAAAAGCGATGAAAAGCAACGCAATGCAATGCGATGCAAAGCATTGGACAGCAATGGACAGCAATGCAAAGAAATGCAAATCAAATCAACGCAATCCAAAGCAAAACAGGGCAATGCACAGCAAAGCGAAACAATGCAACGCAACGCAAAGCAATACAAGCCAACGAGAAACAGCACAGAGCAACGCATAGCAATGCAAAAACGCAACGCAACAAACAATGCCAACAAAAAGACACCGCAATTCAACGCCACACAACGCAACGCCATCCGTCACAATGCAGAGGAAGGCAGAGGAATGCACAGCAGTGCAAAAAGCAGCGCAAAAAGCAGCGCAGAGCAGTGCGAAGCTTTTTTTTTGACTCAACGCCCTCACTGCCTGATGTGCAACGAGCTGTGAGGCAGGGCAACAGCAGCTCGCTTCAGCAGGGCAAAAGCAGCCCCAAAAGCAGCGCAGAGCCGCGCGACGAGCTGCAAAGCACACAACGCTCCGCAGCGCGCGGCGATCGGGCGGCGACGCGCCGGCCCGCCGTGGCACGCCGCGCGTGCCCCGCAGAGAACAGCGGGCGCCGCTGGGCGGCGACGAGCGCCGGCCGCATGCGCCTCTCGGAGAGGCCCTCACGGCGGCGGGCGGCGGCGGGCGGCGACGGGCGGCGAGGAGGCGGCCGGACCGCCACGGGGGCCCAGGTGGCTCAAGCCAGGAGCACAAGAGCCCCAAAAAGCAGTCGGGAACCCTACTATATATGGTCCAGGGCTTGGGCCCCCCCCCCCCCCAATGCTGATGCCATTGGGCGCCCCCCCCCTCCCTCGCGCGATGGTCCCCCCCGCCCCCCCCTGTGGGCGTGGCGTGGTGCTGCGCTGCGGTGCCCCCCCCCTGTGGATGTGGTGTGGTGATGTGGTGGTTCAGAAGTGGGCGTGGCGTGGTGCTGCGCTGCGGTGCCCCCCTCCCCCCCCCTGTGGATGTGGTGTGGTGCTGTGGTGGTTCAGAGGTCGTCGTCGTCGTCGTCGTCCTCCTCGTCGTCCTCGTCGTCCTCGTCGTCCTCGTCGTCCTCGTCGTCCTCGTCGTCGTCGTCGTCATCGTCGTCGTCGTCGTCGTCATCGTCGTCGTCGCCATCGTCGCCGTCATCGTCGTCGTCGCCGCCGCCGCCGCCGGCGTCGTCGCCGCCGCAGCCGTCGTCGTCGTCGTCGTGGTCGTCGTCGTCGTCGCCGTCGTCGTAGTCGTAGTCGTCGTCGTCGTCGCCGTCGCCGTCGCCGTCGTCGTCGTCGTCGTCGTCGTCGTCGTCGTCGTCTCTGGGACCATACCATCTGGGGGAGGGGGGCCCGAGGAATCCTGGGACCATACCATCTGGGGGGGGGGGGCCTGTGAACCCTCGACCCTGGATCATATAGACGGTAAGGGCGCAAGACCCTTGGAAGCCGAAGTTGGGAGTTCTGGGGTTCTGGGGCGGCGGACGACGAAAACCCCAAGGACGCAGGGGTACCCTGAGCAAAGTCGCGCGTCCTTATTAGGGTGTTTGACTGTACAAACACGGTTTGGGAAACGAAGATGCGGGGAGACCGGTGACCGAAACTCTGTCTGGCAGGTGGGCTTTCCGTGTACCTGTCGGGGTTTTCTGTGGGTGGGGCTTCCCGACGGAGCTTTCTGTGTGCCCGATGTCTTCGTGTGA